TATGGACAAACTGCCCAGGCTTTTGCTGCATCCATCCTCAAGATGGTTTGGAAATTTGACACATTATTGGCTGATATAGAATCAAAGTATCGGATTAATAATTCTGTATCTCAAGGTAGTTGTTTATTTTGATATTTGTTTTAAACCTTATAAAATGGATTATAATATCTATATATATTTTTCTTCTAATATGTAAGATCAAGACACGTATATTTCCCTTTTACAGCTTCGAAATCATATTTCCCTTCATTTATATGAATTTAAGATCGTTTATGATTTTTTTGAAAAGCATCTTTCGCACGGTACTTGTCAGATTTGCTAATTTATCTATGCGGTTATGAAATTAATTCAATGAACTTTGTTTCAGATTTTCTTAACAGGTTGTTGGATATTTCTGATCAAGGCCAATCAGATGTCACTGTTTCAACACATCTTTACTCATCTTGTGAAATTGCATATAAAATACTATCTGGGTTATTTAATGAAATTGTTCATCACCAGATATCAGGGAATAAAAAAATATTTATCATGTTGGGAGAACACCTTGATAATTCACTTGTACCTTATATTCGTATGATTGATGAATGGATTTGTACAGGGACATTAAATGATCCCGTGAATGAATTCTTTTTTGTAAGGTAAATTATTTTCTTTTTCTTTATGTGTGGCCGAATTTTTAACATTATTATTTTTATTTAGGTCTCAAACGATAAATAATACATCGTCACAGTACTGGCAGGAAATGTATAAGATCCGAGAGGCTCGTGTTATAATTGATAATGTTGAATCAGTCCAGTTATTATTGCCACCTTTTTTGGAACCTTTAATAAGTCGCATTTTATTCTGTGGGAAAGCGCAAAATTTACTAATGTCTTTAAAAACGGGAAAGGTACAAATTTTGCATACTCATTTTTCTTATAATCGACCGAATGGATTTCATAATTTTCATTAACAAATTCAGGTAGATATTAGAGAGTACATGTTGTCTCTACAACGTAATTCTGAGGAATTTGTTCTTGATATAGAGTCATTACGTTTATTCGGTGGAAAATTAAATAACAATGATGAAGCACACTCAGATAATGAAGTTGAAATTGATGAAGCACACTCAGATAATGAAGTTGAAATTGATAAAGCATACTCAGATAATGAAGTTGACCATAATCACTCAGAAAATAAAAATGATGCTCACTCAGATAATGAAATAGAAATTGATGAAACTCACTCAGATAATGAAGTTGAAGTTGATCATAATCACTCAGATAATAAAATTGATCATAAGTTGTCAGTGGTAGAAAATACTTCATCTAATGGAATTGATTATAAACTACCAGAAATGGAGAGTCTCTCTGATTTTAATGGCATTATCGATGCTTTCCCTAAGACAATATCAACCTTGTTTCCTCTTTGGCAGTCATCTACAGAAAAAAAAGAGGATGTGGAAATGGGATTAGAAGAAATAAATGATATGCTCATCTTTCAACCTTTTAATGAGCGATTAAAAGAACGATTTGAGGGTTATATTCAGCCCAGATATGAACAAATCGGTCGACAACTTTATGATGCATTGGTTGAGAAATGTCGTTTATGGAAGCATTTACGTTCTCTTGCAGGGATATATTTCATGCAGCAAGGGGAATCAATGCACCTGTTATGTGATGTTTTATTTGAGAGGGTTAGTGAATGCCAACTTTTTTTATCTATCGACAAAAAGCTCTTATTTATTTAAAAATTTTTAATCGTAGATAGATAAAAAACAAATGTGGTATGATAGATATATCTTCAATGATATTTTTCTGAATACAGTGAGAAAATGGAAATGGTTGGATGGAGGTTTGGTCAGCGCGTGGATAGATGACGTACCTGGAAAAAGGCCTGACATCACCACTGTGAGAGTATTTGAAAAAATTGTTATTGAGTATCGAGTAAGCATGATCGATGTGAATTTCTATAATCTAAGAAGTTTTTGACACTAATAGTAATAAGATTTGTTTCATAGATACCATGGCCTATTAACAACATAATACAAAGTAAAGCTCTACAATACTACAAGCGCATAGTGGTTTTTTTGCTCCAAGTGAAGCGGGCCAAGTATCTTCTGGAGCGTTTATCGTTTTCGCGCTTAAATAGAAACAATGAAATGTCAGACAAAACAACCGCCATGGTCTTGTTTTATGGCGTTAGAATTAAATTGATATGGTTTTTGAATACAATATGGGATTATGCGATGAGAAATGTGGGTAATTTATACATCAATAAATAGATCATTTTTTTACTCGCTTCTTTTTTTTTTTTTTTTTTTTGTTTTTTCTTCATAAAAATTTTCTGTTCAGATATTGCTTTCGGAAACGGAAAAATTTTACAAGAAGTTAGAAAAAGTTTTTGATGTTGATGAGATGGTTTCTTTGCACAGCCACTATATTAACGCTGTACATGATCGATGCTTGCTTAGTGATAAGGTATGTTAATCACAATATACACTGTTTATAACCATACATTATAAATTATTCGCGTAACATTGATTAAATGTAACGATGATATATTTGTTGTTATGAAGACAATTCCTATCCATAAATCTATATTAGATGTTCTCGATTTGACAATTCAGTTCAGTACACTTTACACACATTATCAAGGAGACAATGTATCTTTTTATGATCACTCACGCGATGACAAATCAAAGAGAGACGAAAATACATCTGACTCTGACTCTGACACATTCCTAACAGACGAAGACGATGATATTGAACCTATTATACCTGAACAAGTGGATTATGAAACGTTTCTTGAAGGCTTAAGCAGAATTGATAAAGAGTTTAATAGAAATAAAGAGTTTATAAGTAATTCTGTTCAGATAATTGCTCGAGTTGGTGGATTCTGGTGGTTCGATGCCTTGGCATTAGCACTAGGCTAAGTAGGAATGTTAAAATTTAGTTTCAATTTAAAAATCAAAGAGCCAGGTTTTTTTATGTAAGTTCTGAACCCTGGTTTGGTTTAGAACCCAAATTTAAAATCTGATTTTTAATATTTTGTAAGATATAAAATAAAAATATATTAATAAAATTTTAGATTATATATTTTTTTGATTTTTATTTAATATATTAATATTGATTTATTTAATATTAACTTTTATATCAGATATGTAGTAATTAATAAAAATATATAGTATTGTATTTTAGGCCATACAAATTTTTTTTTGGTTTCATAATCCGGCCGGGTCAAAATTTGAAAACTTGTAAAAATATTTTTTTATATGTTTTAATAACCGGGCGGGTTTTTATAATTTTCTATATATAAAATTTAAAAAAAAGGCCGCCGGCCGGGTCTGTTTAAACAGTTCTATGTTATGAAAACCCCAAAAAATTTTTGTAGACTTATGCTAAATGCAAAAATACTATTCCTGATGGATCAACAATACCGATCTTGATAGAGTTAAAAAAAAATTTATTTGAGTACTGTTCCTGATAGGGTACTAAAAACGAACCCTAATCCTAACTTTTTTCATTATATAGTATAGTATTTTGGAGGCCCTTTTTAAGAACCCTATCAGGAACGGTAAACAGGGGTGAACGTTCGTGGTTACACAAGCTGCAGATCACTTCGGAGAAGTGATGACCAATCAAAAACGGTGATTTTAAAAATAAAAATATTAAAAAAA